TCCCCCACACTCCAAAGACATGCTGGTGCAGGTTAATTGGGCATCCTGTCAGTTCCGTCGATTTATTTATTTCACAGGACTTATTTGTGCCATAAGCAATTTGGCAGCGCTTTGGACAGATGATATTTTGTACATTTCACATCAAAACGTGAGGCCTAACCCTAAGGGTAAAATATGGTACAATTAATGGTCCCTACTTTGACTGTGTGCACATCATGAAATCTGAGGACCAAAGGATTTTAGGGTCAGGATAGGGCCAGTTAACCTCCACCAGCATGTCTTTGGAAAAGCACTGTGGGAAAGAAACCAGAGTACCCAGAGGAATCCTCACAAGCACAGGGAGAACATGCAAACTCCAGGCAGCTCAGAATGGATGGCTTAGAAGGCTAAAATTGAACACCTGTGGAGAGATCTTAATAATTGCTGTTGAAAAGGTGGAGACCTGGAGCTGCCATGCTTGGGATTTGAACTATTGAACCCAGTTAGTACTGCCAGGCAGAAACCAAATATTAAGTAACCAATAGCCACCCATTTTTGGTGCTGCCTTGGCCCCTAGCATATTATGTATGAATACATGAATAAACATGTTAGTGTTAACCCAATAGATTGTGTGACACTCCTTGAGGGTCAGGAACTGATGTGAATGTACAATATATTTCGGCCATGACTATATATATATATATATATATACATGTAAAGCGCTGAGTAAATTGACGGCGCTATATAAGTACCTGTAATAAATAAATTACTGCAGTCTGATTTGTCTCTGTTGGTAATGCCTCCTCCTTTTGTTTGCATACATATGGTATGCTGCTGTACACTAATACAAGAGACAAGTACACTTCCATTGCACAACTCCACACCAATATATCACTAAGCTGAATATCAGGACTTTGTGCTACTGTGCATTCCCAAATGTTTATCACTGCATGAAATACATAAGTAGATCAAGATAAGGTAAAACAAAGGTAGCAATAATTTATCTTACTATAAGCATTTTATTTAGGAGTTTTTGTATGAGTATATATAACACAGCTTTGTTTTTTTTTGTTTTTTTCAAAATCTATAACTTGTGTGTCACTTCGTTATCCATCTATAATGTTTATCCTCTATGGCACTACTGGATGGAATATACATTTTAGGACAGGAGTCTTAGAACGATTAGCACTGTTAGCATACTTACTGTTAAGAAATTGTATAGAGCACTTACCCCTAGCTAGCATTGAAACCATAGTTAGATTTCATATGCTTGGCATTCTCATCGACTTTTGTAGTTTTCGTAAATAATCTCTTTACTTATCATTAATTTAATTCTTTGCATGCTATTAATTAATATTTGAATTCAAGTAAAATCAAGCAGAAATTTGAAACAGTGATTGACCATAGTTAGGCTTACTTAGTAAGACTAAGAGCAATCTGTAAACTATTTTATCCAGAAGTCCAACAATAATTTAGTAACTGATTGGTTGGTGTTCTGTGCACTTTAGATGTTGCACTGATTTTTTAAAAAATAAGTCATATTCAAACTGTATTATATGAAGGAAAGTCACTGTCATCGTTATCTGTACTTTCCAATTAGAGCCAAAATAGAACACATTACTTTTAATTTCATTTAAAAGATCAGAATGATTGCTTTAGCCTGCTTATTGCACTATTGCACGTGTGACAGTTGGCCACAATCAATAAAAAAAACCACACTAGAGCAATGTGAGCAAACTAATGTTGAAGTCCCAGTTAATAATGTAACAGTTTCCTAATACCAGCTGTGTTAGCTTCCACTAGCAACTAGGCAACATCAAAAAGTATCTTCAAGTTCCGAATTCATAAATTTTCCAGTAGTAACAACTTGGCACACTGCACTTTTATCACTAACCTCATGTTAGCAGTCTGTGCTGTTCTTTCTCCTGTTTCTCCTTTGTGTATGTGTGTATCTGCCTGGTCCCAAAAGCTGATCAGCCTGGCTCTATCTTTGTTCTGAGCTTTCTGTGTTATGTGCCTGAGAGCTGCTACTCAGTACTCTGGTCACGCCTCCCAGTCTGTAACTGTTCCCCACCAAAAGAAAAAACCTGACAGACTTTAAAAGAAGTGCTTAACTTGGGAAGGAAGAAGACTGTAATAAATGGGATTGTATTTGTTCAAAGTAGTTTGCTAAGCAATGGAGTTTAAAGAGAGCCTGTCATAATCAAACCACCGCGTGGTGACTTTAGCTGAAAAAACACTGAAAATCATTACATATATGATACTATGACTGATGGTTACATTTATTAAAATGTAATGCCTCTGACATGATATTTATTGGGAATGATAATGTATTTGGATTTAATCAAATTTAAAGTAATTTTTTGTACAGTTTATGTTAAATATTAAATGTGATTTTTATTTTTAAAATAGTAGAAGTTTATTTTTCGATGTATTCAGACAGTACACAATGTACAGATCTACAATGTTGCCATTGTCAATCAAATGAAAGACAATTAACTAAGCTATTTTTTTGTAGAGCCCACAGTCTGACTGTAAACTGGGATTTGAGGAACATAGCTAGATACTTAGATTGTAAGCTCTAAGGAGCAGGGCCCTCCTAACCCTCTTGTATTGAACTGTATTGTTCTGTATTGTCTCCCTTTATATTGTAAAGCGCTGAGCAAACTGTTGGCGCTATATAAAATCCTGTATAATTATTATACAGGATTATTATTATTATACAGAATTTATATAGAGCCAACAGTTTGCTCAGCACTTTACAATATAACGGGAGACAATACAGCAACAATACAGTTCAATACAAGAGGGATTTGAGGGCCCTGCTCCTTGGAGCTTACAATCTAAGAGGGAGGGGCTATTGGTACAAAAGGTAGTAACTGTGGGGGATGGACTGGTAGGAGGAGTAGAAGATCCCATTATTAGCTGAGGGCAGGATAGGCTTCCCTGAAGAGATAGGTTTTCAGAGATTGCCTAAAAGTGAGCAGATTAGGCGATAGTCTGATAGATTTGGGTAGAGAGTTCCAGAGGATGGGGGAAGCTCTGGAGAAGTCCTGGAGACGAGCATGAGAGGAGGAGACAAGGGAGCTAGAGAGCAGGAGGTCATGTGAGGAGCGGAGAGTGATATTTGGAGACAAGATTAGTGGTGTAGTTTGGGGCAGAGTTATAAATGGCTTTATATGTTATTGTTAATGTTTTGAATTTTATCCGTTGGGCAATGGGAAGCCAGTGGAGGGATTGGCAAAGAGGGGTGGCAGATACAGAACGGATAGTTAGGTGAATGAGTCTGGCAGCAGCATTCTTGATAGCTCGAAGAGGGGATAGCCTGCGATTCGGTAGGCCAATGAGGAGGGAGTTACAATAGTCAAGGCGAGATATAACAAGGGAGTGGTGAATAAGTTGCTTAGTAGTTTCCGAGGTTAAGAACAGGCATATCTTGGAGATGTTGTGGAGGTGAAGTCTACAAGATTTGGACAGTGATTGGATTTGGGGCTGAAAGGACAGATGGGAGTCTAGGATTACACTTTGCCCCCTGGCATAATAATACAACTCTAAAGGCTAATGGGGTGGGGCAGCACAGTTGCTAAAGCAGACCATAGATTGTGCAATTTTCTTTCCTGTAACCACAGGTTGCAGGAGAGAAAATTGCTTGACTCCTCATTAACACAGTCAGTTTTGATGGGGAATCCCTCCTGCAGAGATATTGTGTTCTCCCAGGGAGTAGGGGGGGGGGGGGTTGACGTGGGGAGCCATCCTTGCCAGGAGAATACAATTATTATAGCTAACGGCTATAGCCACTGGCAATAATCGCATCAAAGAAATCCGATATGCCGGTTGTACCCAAGTCGATCAATGGTTTGACTTGAGTACAATCAACCTGTCCATAGATGGATTGAATCTTGGATGACCCCTGCTGAACTGGCCGAGATTCAAACCATCTATTGCTGACTTTAGCGGTTTGCACTTCTGCCTAGTAGCGCAAGGGTCATTGTTCAAATCCCAACCACAACACTAGCTGCATGGAGTTTGTTCTCCCTGTCCCTGAGTGGGTTTCCAGTTTCCTACCACACTCCAAAGACATAGTGGTAGGTGAATTGGCTCCTGTCTAAATTGGCCCTAGTTCGTGTAAGTATGAATGTTAGTTAGGGACCTTGGTATGTACAATATATAAAAAGCACTGTGTAAATTGACCGTGCTATATACAGTAAGTACTGATAAATAAAACAAAACAAGAGGGTGTGGATGTTTTGGACATTTCATTTACCAGAAATAGGAAGGGAGCAGAAGGGTATCATTATTAAGGAGTATTGGGGGAGAAGGCAAAATAATTGGGGATTGGGTGGGTGGGACGGATGTCCACTTGGGAGGAGAAAGGTGGAAAAAAACTTACGGTTGAACATGTTTCTACTGCCCTTCAATCACTGCCCCTTTACCTGAAAAGGCAGTGGGTGGGGATGAACACAACAAGTGGCTTCAAATTCTATGCTTTGTGGCCACAGCCATGCTGCCACCAACCAACAGACTGTGCCACAATGTGAATGATCCAGATCACAACCTGGGGTATAAATCCTGCAGTGGCCACAAAACCATGTATCGCTGCCATGTACACCCCCTGTCATTGCTTCTGCAGCTAAAGAGGAGGTGGCGATAGAAATGGCTCCCAATCACATGGTTTAACTGCCTCAACCTCAGGTGTGATGGAGCCCTTATTTTATAGATTCTCCCTCTAGTGGCTATCTGTATGTCTTACAAGTAAAATAGGTAAAGTAGAGTTAAAGTGATACTAAACCCAGGACCCTGCATTCACTATATCCAGTCTCCCACAGCACACAGAACATGGAAATGCAATTATTTTACTAAATATAAACTGCTAAATACCTTTTCCCATCAGCAGTTAGAGCAGTCTTGTGACTTCAGCAGAGCACTGGTTAAAGCTTGTAGGAGTTTTCTTTCTACTCTAGGAGGATGTGAAACCCTTGGCCCTCTGTCTGGACAGTGCTGATTGGCCCTGTGCTGATCACATGCACCCTCCCAAGAGAAAAAAAAAACTCTAGAAATACACACCAAACTGAGCTTATGCATGTGAGTACGGATTCAGTCTGTATCAGGTGGTCATTTCAACAAGAGGAGGGGTAGAGAAGAAAGGATCAAATGGCCTTTTTATACAATGCAGAGGATTAACCCCTTAGGTTCCACAGTGAGTATAACAAGCATGCTTTACTGCATATACAGACTGATTTTACTGTTGTGGGTTTAGTAACACTTTAAACTCTCCTAAATGAACAGTTGGACCTGTTCATGTATGTCTAACTGTGCTGAACACATACCGTAGACTCTTTGCAGGAACCTCTGTGGACATGTGTAAGCTCCAACAGAGACAGAATGTCACAGTTTTACAGCAGTGACTACAGAAGACTGTAGCCAGTGCTTACAGTTACATTCAGAAGAAAGCTGGAAAGGGTGACAATGCCTCACTGAAATAAATACTTATTATTGTTAGGACCATACTAGGTGTATAGTAACACAGGGCACTGGGTGGAAAAGTGTTCTGTGGTACTGTAGCATGCTGCAGTGGACAGTGGTAATGGCTAGATTGCATTTAAAAGTGGGAGGGGCTTAAAACTTTAGCCTGTTTACTATAGATGTACACTGCCACAGTCCTTATACCCAAAAAAACCTTTGTGTATTATTGTGTCCACAAGTGACAGAGTGTTACAGACCCACATAAACCATAGGACAATGATGATTAAAAAAATTTAACTCTTTTGTTACATATGCTTTTGTGCATGCTTATAGTACCTTAACCACTTGAAGACTGGTTACACCCCATTCCAGTCCAGGCCAAGTCCACATCTAAGGGGGCGCTGGGGTAGGCTATGCCCCCCAAAAGTTTAGTTGTGCCCCTCAGACCTCTGAGAATGCATCTGCAAATCCATGAGACCTGATGGGGACAGTTGATGAAAATGGGCACTCTGAGGGGGCAATTGTTGTAAGGGGACACTCTGATGGGGACAGGTGATGTAAAGCACAAATCTGATGGGGACAGTTAATGTAAAGGGGCACTCTGAGGGGGGCAATTGATGTAAGGCGGCACTCTGATGAGGCAATTGATGTAAGGAAGCACTCTGATTTATTTAAGGGGCACCTGATATAAGAAGGAACTCTTATAGGAGCCTTGATGTAAGGAGGGACTCTGAGAAGAACTCCTGTTATAAGGATGGACTCTGTTAGGGACACATGATATAAGGGGACACAGGTTCTGTTTAATCACCCTAAACTAATGACAGCATTCCTGTTCACTCCTGCACCACTGGGTTATGACTCTGTGGTACAGAAGTGTGTCAAGTGAACAGGAAATACTGGTTCCATGCATCCCTGCCACACTACTGATATTATCCCCCCTGACTTTTTTTTATTGTACTCCCAGATCAGATTCAGCCCTGTTCCAGGCCATTATTCAGTTCTCAACACTGTCACACTTTTTCTCGGTCACTGACAATCAGTCATACAACACTGTGCCCAAATACATTTTATATATATTTTTTGGAGACAGATAGAGCTTTCTTTTGGTAGTTTTTTTTTTTTTTGTTTTTTTTTTTTACTTTTTCATTTTTAAAGGGAAAATGGCAGAAAACATTGAACATTTTTTTTTCTTTCTGTTATAAAAATTGCAAACAAATAATCTTTCATAAATGTGGGCCAAAATACATTTCTTTGCTACTTTTCTTTGGTGAATAAAACAATCAGGTTATATTATTTAGTCAGTGTGAACATTTTAGGGTCTACAAACTATGGTATATATATTTGAAAACTGATCAATCCTGATGTACCAACTGTCTCATTTCTTGGCTTCAAAGTGCTAGAACAGTACAAACACCCCCAAAATTACCCCTTTTTGCAAAGTAGACAGTCTAAAGTATTTATTAACAGGCATGGTGAGTTTTTTGAAGTTGTGATTTATTTGTCACAAGTTTTTGAAATATGAAGAGGTTAAATAAAAATGCAATTTCACAAAGTTGTCATTTTAATAACAAGTTATTTCTCAAATATACCATAAGCATACTTACAATTACACCCCTAGCCACATTCTGCTTCTGCTCCTGAGTATGAGGATACCACAAGTGTAAGACTTTTTCACAGTCTAGACACATAGAGAGTCCCAAAATCTAAAGAGCACCTTTAGTCATTCTAGGGGTCTAAATTACACTTCTAATTTCCTGACTACGTATCACATTTTTGGAGGCTCTGGAGCACCGGGACATTGGAAACAACCATAAAATGACCGCACTTAGGAAAGTAAACACCCAAAGGTATCCTCAAAGAGGCATGGAGAGTGTTTTGAAAATATTATTTTTTGCCACAAGTTTTTGGAAAATGCAGATTCTGCTACTTTTCCAGAGTATGGCAGTACTACATGTGACAGACTTTTGCAATGTTTGGAAATATTATGTAACGGGCATTGTATCTTGTGTATCACAAAAATCAACCAATTGTATCAAAATGAATGCCATGTTCACAAGCCAGGAAGTACAGGAGGCTGAAGAAAGAAAGAGCAAAAGAGTTCCTGTGGTTCCAGAAGTGCAGTTGTCTGCAGAGGAAACCTAGGACCGTTGTTTCACCGGAATGTAGCCAGTGGATCAGTTCAGGCGGCAGGAAGAAACATGGTCAGCAAACAGGCAAAGTGTCAGTCCAGGCAGCAGGCAGAAATGTGGTCAGTAAACAGGCCAGGGCCAGTATAAGTGGCAGGCTAAGGCAACACTTGCACTGATATGGCTTTGACCAGAAGTGCCATTAAAGGCTTAATTGCTCTGGTTACACTGGGACAGGTGTAATGGCAATCAGGAACAATTTTGCTGGCATACACTGGTCTGGTGACACTGGGAATGGTGAGGTGGCAATCATGAACACTGTTGCTGGCTTACACTGGTCTGACAACGTTACTGGGGTCTAGTGTGACAGCAATCAGGAATACTGTCACTGGCTACACTGGATTAGTGACACTGGGGCTGGTATGACAGTGATCAGAGACACTGTTGCTGGCTTACACTGGTCTGGAGACATTGACACTGCTGTAGCAGCAATCAGGAACACTGTTACTGGCTTACACTGGTCTGGTGACACTGGGACTTGTGTGGTAGCAATCAGGAACACTGTTGCTGGCTTACACTGGTCTGGTGACACTGGGACTGGTGTGGCGGTGATATGGAACACGGTTGTTGACATATACTGGTCTAGGGACACTGAAACTGGTGTGGTGGTGATTGGTAAAACTGTTGCTAGCTGCACTGGTCCAGCAATCAGGAATATATTTCTAGCTACACTGTTCTTGTGACACTGTCACTAATGTGGTGGTGATCTGAGACACTGTGAGTGGCTGGACTATTAGCTCTCGTTAACACATGAAAATTTGGGAGCTGGTAAAACTTGTGGCCCAGCCGCTACACCCTTTAACTGCAAAAGCAGTGGTCAGGAGTGTACACATGCTGTGGTTGGGATGCTTTGCTTCATAGCCATCAAAGGAAGTGTACCCCTTGTCGCTTTCAGCAGGTGTACAACCCACCGGTCATGATCCATTCAACTGAATGCAGGGGCGCTTGTGTTGGGTCTAAGGGGTAAAAGCAAGCAGTGAGGAGGTGATACAATGCCTTCTCACCACCTGTGAAATGTTCTCTGTAGAGTGAACCAAACATGGATCACTCTTCAGAGAACACCGTACATGAGAATAAGCCCTTATGGTGACACTGTGGGACTTGTATGGTGGTGAATGGGGACACTGTGACTAGCTGCACTGGTCTGGTCATTTTGTACTGTGGTGGTGATGAGAGACAATGGTTGACTGCATTGACATACAGTGATAATAGAGCAGCCAACCATTGTACATGATCACTGCTACAACAGTACAATGTCACCATAGTGACACTTCACTTGCTCTAGTGAAAACATATAAAATGTTTTATTTTCTTTACATACTGTCACGAGAACAGTGTAGTATCACTATAGTGACACTGTACTGCTGTGCCTATCAATCAGAGACACTGGCTGCTGCATCCAGTCAGTGTCTCTAATGAATAGACAGAGCTTTGCAAAGTAACTATAGTAACACTGCATTGCTCAGGTGTGGTGATTTTGTTTTTTACACTCTTGACTGTAGTAAGCACTCATATTCCTCTCATATCTGGTTGCTGTGAGAGAAATTGGCTCAAAGGCTGAATCATGCAGCCTTTGTTTACAAGTGTGATTGCTGTGATTGGTCACAGCAATCACATAGAGGCCCTGCACTGAGATCTGTGGTCACAGGGCATGCCGCCAACTACTTTAGAACCTACTCATGAGCAGGATGTTACTGTATCCACGATACAACAGATCATACAACAGAGCATGCTACTCTAGCAGTCAAAGTGATTTGCTCTGTTAGAGGTTGCACTAGACCCAGGGCAGCAGGCAGACAAAACCTGGACACTTTCCTCAAGTGTCTGGGTCTAGCGATAACCTAACACCCTAGAAAAGGAAGTGATTGTGGATCCACTCTGCTGTAAGCAGAATATATAAAAAAAAATTGTAGAAAAAAAAAAAACAGTAGTAAAGTCCACTTTTTGATTTATGTCTACCTGTAGGTACAGTAAATATATCCTAAACGTGAACTGTTTAGGAGGTGTTTACTTTAGTAGCAGCCAGTGACTTCACCGGGGCATGCACACTGTGTTCTGAATAGATGGTGCTGTCCATTCACAGCTCTGTTCTGCAGCCGTGACTCCCGTGCGCATGCACAAGAGTGATGTCATAGCAGATTGGCCATTCAAACAACCAGAGCCCGCAAAATTGGAAGGAAGACCAGGTGAAGATGGAAGCCCTGTCAGCAGTCTTCATTTTAAGATACGTCTGTCATAATGTGCTAGTATGCTCACACATTACTACCGTTTTAAACTTTTTGACATACTGCAACAGGAAGAACATGTAAAAACAGGGGAAAAGGTGGTGTGTGTGTTTGCGTGGGGGGGGAGGGAGGGTTAGAATAAGGGACATCTTGATAAAGGGGAAAAAAGAATGGAGATTGGGAAGGGGGTAAGGAAGGAAAAGTATATGAGTGGTTCAGGTTTAGCCAGCAGTTAGCTTTCATGCCAGCAGGGTCCCCCACTCCTGGTTATTTTCCCTCCATGGATAAATATTACTTGGATCAGCCATTTAAGTTTGTAAGCTGATATCAGTGTTGTGGATAAGGCTATG